CTGGGCATGGGCTGGGGGCTCCCCTGGGCATGGACCTGGGTCTCCCCTGGGCACACATCTGGGGTCCCTTCGAGGGACAGGCTGGGGTCCCCTCCAGGCCTGGATGTGGGTCCCCTCCACACATAGGTGGGGTCCCTTCCAGGCAGGCATCTGGGATCCCTCTCAAACACAGGTCAGGGTCTCCTCTGAGCACGGCCTGGGGTCCCCTCAGGGCACAGTCTGCTTCCCCTGCACACACAGGTTAGGGTGTCCAGCCACACATTTGGGGCCTCATCCAGCTGCTGGCTGGGTCCCTGTCTGGGTACAGGTTTGGGGTCCCCATCTGGCCGTGGGCTGGGGTCCCTCATCCCAACCTGCTGGGGCTGCTGGTTCTCTGTGGCTCCCACTGCCCATTGCCTGCCCCCAGCCCTCCCAGGAGCACAGGTCCCTCTCCCCCCACCTCTGTATCCCCACACAGTCCCTGGTGCCCCATTCATCCCCAGCCAGGGTCTCTCCCCCAAAATGTGGGGTCCCAGCTCGCTGTGCTGCAGGGGATGGCTCAGAGGAGCACAAGGGAATTTTAACATTCCAGCAGATTTATGGAGTGTGTCTGAGACACACTCTACTGTGACTGCAAACCTCTTCCCACAAATCCCACTTCCAACACCAAAAGTTGTTTTTCCTAATTAAAAAAAAAAAAAAAATCCAAAAAACCCAAACCACAAACTCCAGGGTTTCCACATGAAGCTATTCCAGAAATGTTTCTGGCCAAAACAGCTGTGGATGAGGATCTCTCCAGCTTCACTTGTGTGTGCCTGGAGAGGTGGGTGCTTCCTCTGAGCTCAAAACCCACCCCCAGGCACCCAGGGGCCACCCCCAGTGACCCCACAGAGCAGGATTGTCCCCACAGGGGCTGTTTGGTGACGTCATCTCCCTCCTGCAAATGCCACTCCAAAATTGCCAAATCCACCTTTGTTTTTTTCCTCCCCATCCCAGGAGACACTCCAGAGCAACCTGGTTTTTCTGCAAAAAGCAAGGGAAGAATTAAAGCCCAAAGGAGAGCCAAAAAGTGATGAGCTGCTGGTGTGTGTTCCCCTCCATGCCTGGCACCTGCCCACCCAACCCACCTTCCCCGGGCATGTCCCATCTTTCTCTCCGTTTCCATGACAAGGCACTTTTCTCTCTCCTCCTCTGTCCATCCCATATCTCCTCCCTGGGTCCATCAACATCTAGACTTGCCACCCCTCTCTCTGTTCTTCCAGCTTTTCCTCTCCAAAACCTCTTCTCCCTTTCCATGTGACCTTGCCCCTCTCCCAAGGCAGCTGGAGTCTGGGATGGCTCACGGCCTCCACGTGATGTCTTGCAGCACACGGTGGCCTTGGAGGAAGAGAGGCTGCAGAACACCTTTGAGGAGCTGGAGAAGTTCCTGCAGGAGCAGAAGAAGGTCCTGCTGGCCCAGCTTGGCCCAGTGTCCCAGGAGCTCCTCAGGAGTCGCTCCGAATACAACTCCCGTGTGGCAGAGAGGGAATCGCTGCTGGACGCGCTGATCGGGGACATCGAGAAGAAACGGGACCAGCCGGATGTGGAATTCCTCATGGTGAGGCTGCACCACCCACCCGGGCCTGTGGCCCCGTGGTGAGGCTGGGGGGCACCCACCTGGCACCCAGCACATCCTGGTGCAGCCCGGAGCCTGGGAGCAGTGCCAGGCTGTGACAGCAGTGTGGCTGGTGCGGGTCGGGGGCTGCAGCGTTCCCTGAGGGAAGGGGAGGGTTGGGATGAGGTGTGGAGCGACCCCCTCCCCGGTCCCCATCACCCACCTCCCACAGCGACCGTCCCTCCCTGCCCCGGGCACCGCGGTCCTCGTGGGCACTGCCAGAGCTCACCCCTGTGTTCTCTCTTCCAGGATGTTGGCAAAGTCCTGAGCAGGTACGAAACGGGCCCAGCATCACTCTCCTCCCACCCAGCTCTTCTGGGCAGAGCTTTGGGAATGCTGCAGGAGCTGGGAGGGAGGTGGTTTGCCCTGCTGAGAGTTTGGGATTTAACGGGATGTTCCCGGGATCCAGAGGCCGTTGCTCCCCTCTTAAAGGCGGGGTTCCCGTGCTGGTAGCTGGGGCTCAGCCCCCGGGTTCTGTGGCTGGGGGGATTTCCCCCAGTTTCCCTGCTGGGTGCTGGCTGGTGGCCGGGCTCAGAGCTCCTCTCTGTGTTGCTCCCCCTCAGCTGTGAGGCAGCCAAGGCCCCGATCCCAGAGGCAGTTTCCCCGGAGCTGCAGAGGACTGTTGAGACCCTCTCTGAGACGTGCCAGCTGGTCCTGGGCACAGTGGCCAAATTCAAAGGTAAAGCACTGCTGGCTCTGTGCTGGACTTCCCCTGGGCTTGGCTGGCAGTGGGAGATCCTCACTGCCTGGTGCCTCTGCTCTGGGGTTTGGGAGCAAAACAGGCCTGCTCCGGATGGGAACCATCTCCAAGATAGGCTTCACTGGAGCCTGGGGCTCTGAGAGCCCATGTCTGGCTTGCTGTCCTCATGGGGAGTGGGAAAGGTGCCACAGGAGGAGAGACTCATGCATCTTCCTTTCCTTCTTCCAGAAAACCTGCTGAGCAACATAGACAGGGAAAGGGGTGAGTTTCTGGAGCTGATGGGCACAAATGAGGGAGAAAAGCTTTCCAAGATGAGTATCCTCGTGTCCTTGGCACAGAGATAGGCTCACGCCACAACATCTAAACCCAGCGTCTGTCTGGAACTGTGTCCTGTTGTTTTGACTAGGCCTGCTGTGAAATTCCTGATCTGTCCCTGTGCCAGGCAGTGCCACTGACACTGTCCTGCGACTCAGACCGAGGGCTGGGACAGCACGAGCTGTGTGGGGCTGTGGCCAGTCGAGCAGAGGGGCTGTACATGTTTCCAGCTGGCATTTACGAGTGCCCTCTCAGTTTTTGGGATGAGGGACTTGAGCACAGGACAGCTGTGCCTCAGTTCCCCCCACGCTGCAGTCCCCGGAGGAGTGGGTTTAGCAGAGGGCCTGGGGTGGTGACACTGCACGGTGACACCTGTGTGGCCCTGTGGGATGGCCACGGGATGGCAGCAGAACATCCCACATGGATGGGCAGCTCCAGCTCGGGAGGGAGGTTGCCCTGCCTGGTTACTCGGCAGGGCAGGGTGGGGAGCTGGTTTTCCCTTCGGTGAGCACTTGCCAACCTTGTCACAGGAGCAGGGACTGGCCTGGCCCCACTGCTGCCTGGATAACACCCACGGGATATCTGCTTCCCACTGCCAGCCTGGCTGTGGAGCCAGCAATATCCAGCAGACCTGGAAGCAGGTTTAGCAAAGTCCACTGAGTCCGTCCCCTGCACGTGGGGACACTGGCTCAGTCCCAGAGGGGAGGGCAGGGAGGGTCCCGTGCCCTGTGCCCCCCGAGGGGGCTGCAGGAGTGCCCGCTGTGCTCCCAGGAGCACGGGAGGGAGAGGTGCTGGTTCTCTCCTCAGCGGGCACAGACTGACCTTTCTCTCTGTCGCCCATCAGAGAAGGTGACGCTGGACCCAGAGACGGCGAGTCCTTTCCTGCTGCTCTCTGCAGACCACAGAACCCTGCGCCTCGCAGAGGGATTCCAGAGCCTCCCCGACACCCCCCAGAGATTCACGGACAGCCCCAGCGTGCTGGGCTCCCGGGGCTTCACGGCTGGCAGGCATTACTGGGAGCTGGAGGTCGGGAAGGGGCACAGCTGGGCCGTGGGGGTGGCCCTGGAGTCCGTGCAGAGGAAGGACTCGCTCAGCATTGCCCTGGGCAAGGTCTGGGCCCTGCGGCTGGACTGGGATGGCCAGTACACGGCACTGCATGGGCTGCCCACCCTGCTGGCACTGCAGGAGAAGCCCCGGAGAATCAGGGTCCACCTGGACTACGAAGGGGGCCAGGTGACCTTCTACAACACAGAGAACATGGTGCAGATCTTGCAGTTCGAGACCTCCTTCACCGAGAAGGTCTTCCCGTACTTTTGGCTCTGGTCAGCAGACACCTTCATCCGCCTGTGTGACTGATGGGGTCGGGTGCCTCCCACTGCCCTGCCGTGCCCTGGGCTGGCTGAGCAGGCAGGAAGCCTGGCAGTGACACAGCACCACGCTGCAAACTCGCCACAGCTCTGCCTGGGCTGGGTCTGCTCTGGGCGTTGCTGCATCTCCTCCTTCTGAGTCCTCTGGAGCATTAAAGATGTGCTGTCCTGCCTGGGGGTGTCTGCATGCTGCTGTCCTGCCTGTCCCTGTGGGCACTGAGGACACAGGAGTGATCAGCAGGGAGGCAGGGAAGGCTCTGATTGCCCATGTGGGTCTTTGGCAGCACTTCATGGCTGGTAGCATGGTTTGGTGTGGGGCGATGTGTTGTAGGGTGCAGCCACCCCACACCCAGGAAGTCAGGGTGGAGCCACGAGCCGATAGTAGTGGCTGAAAACCCCTGCAAAAACGGTTTCTAGAAAAGAAAATGTTCAGGGAGGGGGCAGGGCAGACTGGAGAGCTGGAGTGAGGGCACAGCCTGAGCCTCTCCAGGCTGGCAGAGCAGCAGGAGTGTGATGGGGATCTGTGAGATCCCAGGAGGTCAGGGCAGGAGCAAACACCACACTGTGTAACCCAGGAACTGGGAACATCCCGTGACTGGTGGGTGGCAGGGCCTGGGCAGAGGAGTGGGATCCCCTGGATCCAACATGATCAGCTGGAGACAGCAGCCCCTGGATCCACCAGGGAGATCTGGCAGAGGATCTGCCAGGGACTCGACAGCAGGGATCTGCAAACCCTGAGCTGGGGAGAACCCACACAACCCGCTGGGGCCTCTCTGTCCTGAGCACGTCACTGAATCACCACCTGTAAAGTGGGACCAACGTGTTCTGGAGCTGGGATGGCTCCCCACACCTGCAGAGCCATGGAAGGAGCTCCCTCCTTCCCACGGCACAGCCATCGCTGCCTCCATCCTGCTCCGTGGCTGTCGAGGGGGCAAACACGGCAGGGTTTTGCACTGGTGATGTGGGAAGGGCTCCTTGTTTCGCTGATACCCATTACCTGCTGAGTTTGTGCCCTTTTCCCCTCGTTTTCCCCAGATTTCCCCCCTTCCCCTCAGTCCCGCGGCAGATGGAGGCAAGGCAAGGCAATGGGTCCTCTGAAAAACTGTGTGTGTGTCCATTTTTAAGGCAAATAGCAACACATGTGTGATAAACTGAGAAAATGATTGGAGCTAATTAAGAGAAAACAGTGTAAGGTCAATATGACCTGGAGAGAAAAGAAAAACTTAAGTTGTAAAACTTAATTGGGCCCCTATAAAGGGATAAAACAAGTTACCTCCCTTTTACCTTGTGTAGGATTTATAGTGAGAGAATTTTGTTTAGTTAGCTAGATAATAGTACCTTTCTTAAAATTTATAACTTTATATAGATAACAAGCGAACATCTGCTGAAAGTCCCCTAATTTTTCCCTGTTTTCCCACCTCTTCCCCTCAGTCCCAGGGTAAGTCAAGGAAAGGCAAGGCAAGGCAATGGGTCTGCTGTAAAGCTGGGTGTCTGTCCATTTTTAAGGCAGATAGCACTTTGGGTAAATGCCACACTTACTTCTGCCCTTTCCCCCCTCATTTTTTCCATATTTTTCCCCCTTCCCCTTGGTCTCAGGGCAGGTCAAGGCAGGCCAAGGCAATGGTTCTGCTGTAACGCTGGGGGTGTGTCCCTTTTTAAGGTAAATAACACCACTTTGGGTAAACACAACGCTCCCTTTTGCTCTTTTTCCCCCTCATTTTTTCCATATTTTTCCCCCTTCCTCTCAGCCCAGAACAGGCCAAGGCAATAGCTCTGCCGTAAAGCCGGGTGTGTATCTATTTTTAAGGCAAATAGCAACACTTTCGCCCTTTTTCCCTCGTTTTTCCCAGTTATCCCGCCCCTTCCCCTCCCGTCCCCGGCCGAAAGGAGGCAGCCGGAAACATGGCGGCAAAGCGGCGCCTCGGCCAGGCTGAGGACTACATTTCCCAGCACACAACGCGCAGGGCAGAAACGCATTCCTCCCTTCGGGAATGCCGGGAAATGTAGTCCTCCCTCCACCCCTGCTCCCTCGCCCTTCCATTGGTCCGAAGGCACGTCGATCACGGGCGGTGGGCGGGGCCATGCCCCTGCGCGGCCGTTCCTACTGGTGGGAGCGCGCGCGGTGGGAGGGGGGGTTTGAAAAAAAACAACCCGCCCCCCGTCGCGCGCCGCGCGCTGATTGGCTGAGCCGCCGTTTTGGCGCCAGCTCCGGAGAGGCCGACGAGGTACCGGCTGGGGCCAACGCGCCGCGGGCGGCGCGCTGACGGGAGCGCTTTACGCTGTCCTCTGCCTGCCCGGTCCCCGGTCCCGGTCCGCTCCTATGGATCTCGCGCCCGCCGCTCTCCACCGCCGCCGCCTCTCGCTCGCCCTCCCACGGGCGTCGCCCCGCCTCGCACGCGGCCGTGGTCAAGACTCTTTCAGGACGAGCTTTCGCCCGTCTCCGCCCTGCCGCCTCAGCACTGGAGCAGCTTGGGCGCGGGTGAGTCGGGCAGTGCGGGGGGGCCCTCGAGGGCAGCCCTGGGAACCCCCCCCTTCTTTATCATGAGAACGCCCTCCAAAAAAAAAAAAAAAAGGGAGGCTTCGCGAGGGGTTTATCTCCCCCCATCTTCCTTCCTATACTAAAGCATCCCCTTCGCCCGCCGCGTCCGGGCCTTTTCTCCCAACCTTCCAGGGCCTTTCTCCCCCTCCTGGACCCGAAGCGAGGCCTGGGGGGGCTCCCCCCCATGTAAAATAAAAAGCCCAAGGCCTCCAGGAGTCGTTTTCCTTCCGTTCCGTTCCCTCCCCCGCACTGGAGCCTTGTGGAGCTTCCCGCCTCCCGGTCCTTTGCTCCCCCCAAACCCTCGGGGGTGGCTTTTAACACCCCTTCCCAACTCCCAGACCCTCAGGGGTGTCTTTACACCCAAAGCCCCAAGGATGCCTTTTATAACCCCCCTCTCTCTCAAACTCTTCCAATGTCTTTTACCTCTGCTCGGCCCCCTCTTCCAATAAAACCCCAAACCCAAGCCCCTTTCAGGGATGTCCTTTACTTACCCCCCAAATCCCAACTGCAAGGCCTCGAGGAGTTGGAATTCATCTCCTTCCCTCTCCTTCCAAGAACAAGGCCTCGGGGAGCTCATCCGCCCCCCCCCCCCCCAAAAAAAAAAGTGAGGCCTCGTGGATTTCTCCTTTTCTTCCTTCCCCACCCCCGAATCGAGGCCTTGGGAGTCTCTTCATTCCCTTCTCCCTCCAGAAATGAGGCACTGAGGGCCTTATCCTGCTTCCTCTCCTTCCAAACCCCCCCACGGCCCAAACCCGAGGCCTCCAGCCCCTCTTTTCCCAACCCTCCCCCCCAAAAACGGGGCCCGGAGGAGCTGTTTGTTCCCACCCCCCACCCGTGACGCCTCGAGGAGTTTTATCCCCCCCACCAGGAAAACTTCCATGATTCCCTGAACACCCCCCTGCCCATGCCCGATGCCTCCACCTCCCCCATCCCCCGTGGATCCAGTGCCCTGGGCCACCTTCCCCCTCCTGTGTCCCACCCTGGCTCTGCTCTGGGCGTCCACCTCCCTCCTGAGCCCTTCCCTGGCCTTCCCCCTCTCTCACCAACACCTTTGTGCCCACTTTTTGTGCCTACTTTTTGTGCCTTCCCTGCACCATCTCAGCTCTGTCCTTCCTCCCTCACCCTGTTCCCTCACCTTCCTCCTCCTGTGCTCCCAGAGCTCCAGCCATGCAGTTGCTCCATCCAGTTTTGCTCTTTCTGATCTCCTTTAATCCCATTATTCCCCCAGTTTCCCTCCTGAGTGGCTCCTGTTTTGCCCTGGCCCACTCTGGTCTCGATGACCCTCCTGGTTTTGTGTTTGTTGCTCTTCCATTATTCTGGTTTTCTGCAAACACCTGCTTTAGGATCCTTCCCTCCTTCAGATTCCTGGGATTCCTGCAGACCATTGGCAGTGCCCTCCATGTAAATTATTCAAGTAGCTTTTCCTCTATTTAAGTGAGGCTCCATATGATTTTCTTATCTCCCAGCACTGAGCTTTAGTGGATATAACAAAATGTGGGAGTCAACTCCTTGTAAAAGTGGGTTTGAATTAGAAGTTTGGCATTTTTTCCCGTGCAAGATCTGAATTAAAGGAGTGGCTGCCAGAGAGAGGGTTGCACTTCCAGCTGGGCTCTGATGGAACTCCCTGGAGTGTGGTTTGGGAGGTGCTAATGTGATTCCAGGCACCGATAACCAGAAGTTTCGTGGCCAAGTCTGTAATTCTGAGGTATCAAAACCTTCCTCTGTGAGGGCACAGGCTCTAAAAGAACGTTTTGAACCCCCCAGAGTTGATGTGAACGGAGAAATGTTTGGTGTGAGGAGACCAGGGAGGCAACCAGGATAACTGCTGTGTTAAATGACACTTCCCCTGCCTCAGAAGCCAAATTTCCAATATTTTCAAACCCAAAACATGAAGCTTCAGGCCCTGTGGGTGTTGGATCTGCTCCAGTGGTGATACTGTCCCTGCTCTCAGCAGCACCCAGAGCACAGGACAGTGCTCTGCAGGTTTTCCAAGTGGGAATCCCCTCACCTGGCTGATGATAAAGGTTCCAGTTGATGATCACCAGGTTGTATTTGTTGCCTCACAGAGCTTTTAAACCAAATCCCAAACTCCCCTTTCCAGGCAGCGGGAAAACACGGAGCAAGACCTGGGGAACAAGAATGGATTGCAGAGATCTTCATCCTCAGAATCCACAGACTCAGGTATGGCCTTCCCAGTTAACAATTAACAATTAAGGATTGAAAAGCAGCTGCCAGGGTTTGGAGAGAGAGCCTTCCCTGCCTGCAGTCCCACCATTCCTGGGGTGGAAAACAGGGAGAAGGTGCTGGGATCCCATCTCTCCCGTGGAACTCCTGTCCTTTGGAGGTGATGAAGGCAAGTCCCCACCATCTGTTTTCTCTCTCTGAACCCAAACTGGGCCAGCCTGCCCCAGTTGAGTGGGTTTGCCTTGTGGTTTGGGGCTGTGGGTTTTGGTGGTTTTTTTTCGTTACCAAGAGCTGGTTGTTTATCTGAAACACTTCAGTTCTGATGCTTGCCTAGAGATATTTCCTTTGTCTCAGGTGAGAAGCTTTATCAGTAAAAATGAAACAAGCTCTTACCCCGTAACTTGCAGACACAGAGAAGCTCTGGTACCTCATTCCTCCAGCTCAGGGAAATCAGCGTTTCCACCTGAATTTACACCCCACTTTGAAGGCACTTTTAGCCTAGAAATGAACTTTATGAACTTCTAAAACAAAAGTCCAGCTCACAAAGCACAGAGCAGGATAGAACAACCAGCCTTGTGAAATCCTCCCTCTCTCCAGCTCCTCAGGAATCTGTGTCTGAGTAACTTTGCAGCTCCACAGCATTTTAGTACAGACAAATGCAATGTTCTGCTTGGCTTGTGCTTATGAAGTGCTTCCTGTTCTTTCCAGTACATTAGGAAGGCCCTTTTGACTACTTATCTTTTTGGAATAAGCCCAAAATTTCTTCCTGGGAAGAGGTATAACTAAAAACATGGCTTAGAGAAAAAAAAACCAACACCTATATGACTAAACTGTTTGTTTATTAAGGTGTGTGGGAGAGAATAAGCCAAGAGTATTCCATGTGACAGTCTAGGCAGGGCTAGGGGGGCTTTTTTTTTAATTGCTCCTGGTTTTCCCCAAGCACTTGATTATCCATCTCCATGTCCAAATCCAGCCTTGGGGAGTGTCTGTCACCCTGACCTGGAGGTGAGGCTGCACGTGGGACTCTCCACGGGAGTTCCCCGGGTCTCCCTGTGGCCATCTGTCACAGTGTCCAGCAATCCCTGTTTCCTGGGGACTGACCACCAGGAATTCCGTGTGTCCTCTGCAGGTTTGGCTTTGGATTCCCCCGGCCCTGCGACCTCCGGCGACGCCGTGGAGGACACGTATGTAACCACGGGTTAGACCCGTATGTAACCACGGGTTAGACCCCACCTGGGCACGCTGGATCAGCAACAAACGTGGCTGGATGAGGCCCTGATGAGGCTTTGCCTTTGCTGGCACATGTGGGCTCTTCCCTCACGAGCTGGAGGTGCTGGCAATGGTCCTGCCCGTGTCCCAGGGCACCGAGGCATTGGCTCTGAGCTAAGGTGTTGTACCACACCCCTCACCAGGAGCCTGAGGCTGCACCAAGTTGCAGTTTCCAACACTTAAATTGTGCTTTTCTGGGCCTTAACTGGTCACAGAATCCCAGAATCATTTAAGTTGGAAAAAACCCTCTAAGATCATCAAGTCCAACCTTTGACCCATCACCACCTCGTCAGGTAGAACTGATGCCAGCAGTTACCCTGAGCTTTGAGCTTGCCACTCCCAACTGGATTATTTCTTCCCCCTAATCTGTTCCCAGGGATGGGGGCAGATGCCCTTGGTCCCTGATTTACCACGCCCTTCCTCCTTCAGCCTCACTTCTTGCCTGAACAGTGCTGGAAAGAATTTAAGGGAAGGAGGGGAGAAGGAGTCTTTGAGTGTTTCAAAAATCAGGATGGGATAGCCTGGCTATAAATAGGGTTTGGGAGAGACAAGTGTCATTAAGAAGCAGGTTGCCCAGAGAAGCTGTGGCTGCCCCACCCCTGGAAGTGTCTAAGGTCAGGTTGGACAGGGCTTGGAGCAACCTGGGCTAGTGGAAGGTGTCCCTGCCCGTGGCAGGGGGTGGGAATGGGTGCTCCTTAAGATCCCTTCAAACCCAAACCATCCTGGGATCCTGTGTTGGCTTGTGCTTGGCATAACCCCTAAATATAGGGCTGACTTTTAATGTGCATCTCTCTTGCTTTTAGGTTTGAGAAAGCAATTCTCAAATCCAGCAGACTGAAGTGAGTACAATTCTATTTTAAACTCTTAGTGTCTGCTGTAGCTTATGGAGTTGGGGGGGGTGAGTTTTAATCATGTCTTTTAAAACAAAATGTTGAAATAAATCTCTGTTCTTTTTCCCTGCAGCCTTCGAATACCTTTCAGGAGAATACACTCCCTGCCAGTAAGTGAGAGTGGTACTGATGGTCTGCAAATGCTAAAGGATTTAGCATGTTCCTAGTTGAATACATTGCCTAACTTGCTAATTTTCTGGCTGCAAAACCAGCTGCTGAGGGTGCTTGATGCAAACTGTCAGAATTGCAGCTTGTACACTCTAAATCTCACTTAAGTCCCCGTGAAATCTCCGTGGTGTGGCTCCATCACTGCTGCAGTGGAAGCATTTTGGTACCTGTGCTGAGGTGTCAGCAAAGCTTCCTGCACAAATTCATAGTCAGAGACTTTACAGTCTTTATTAACCCCTTGTGTGCTTAAAATGTGCTTTTTGCACAATACTGAACTGGCTTTTTTGTGTGGTCATTGTAGCAAAACCTGCTGGGATCCAGCCCTGCCCTGAAGAGAAACCATTCAGATTCTCTGGACAGTGATGCTTTCCAGCCACTGGCACAAGATGAAAATAAGGAGAATGTAAGTGATTAGAGATTGATAAAAATTGGAAAGACTTTGAATGTGCAGCTCCACCACTAACCCTGACTCCTTTCTGGCTGTGGCAAGGGAGGAGGTGTTCTCCCTGCTTGCTCTAGAGATTTCCAAGGGCTGCCTCCAGGAAGCTGTTTAGGTGGATCAACCCCTCTCATCCCACTGCTGCCATGGATTCCTTGTGGAATCAATGTCCTTTGGCTACTGGGAATCCCGTGGGTGGGACTCTGACAGGTCTGCAGGAGAGGACACAGCCTTGGCTGCCTTCAAAAATGATGTATTTTGCAGAGAAGCTGACTGACAGGGATAGAAAAGCCTTCAGCCTGTAGGTGATGTCAGGAACATAAATTTTGGATTATGTTAAATGAAACACTTGTAACGTCTTTCATTTGAAAACATTCACCTTCAGACTATTCCTGTTGGCAGCAGGGAGCTTAAATCCAAAATGTCAGGTGGTTTTAAAAAAGCCCTGTGAGGATAAAATGATCCAAGCAACCCACACAGTTTGTCATTCTGGTAAAATGTTTGTTTTCTTCCTTTTTAATTCAGGAATCGTTTGAGTTTAAGAAGCCAACCAAACCAGCTTCTCGTTGCTTCCGTGATGGAAGGGCTGGAGCGAGGCAGAATTCATCTCCAGCCCAGATTGTAAGTTCTTTTAAACTAATTCTCACCTAATTCCTTGCTGCCCACTCTCTGGGAGGAAGAAAAATTGTGTCAGGGTTTAAGGGCAGTACTGTCAGTCACCACTGCTCAGGTGCCAAATAGAAAGACTTATTTGTCTGCCAGATAAGAAAATTTTTCTCACCTTTGGCTCCTGAAATGGTCAGAAATTTGAAATGTGGATTGTTCTGGGAAGGATGAGTCAGTGCAGAGCTGAGGTTCTGCTGCAGTAATTGAAGGGAGTGTGGGCACTGATGTGGAATTGGAATTGATTTCACTATCACTTATGTTGAGGCTGATGCACTTGGAACAACAACCCCAGCTGTGCAGAAAAAGCCTGATTTTGTGTCAAGATGTGACACCCAGGGAGAAAATGTTGCCTTATTTGTATCCTGTTGCTTAGAAAAAGCAACTGAAAAATCATGATGGGTCCTTGCACAGAAACAGGGTGGGGGGCCAAGTCTTGCCTCCACTCCTTGAGTCTGGCAGCCCTTCATCCTGCCAGGTCCTCTCTGTCCTGTTTGCTCCATGTGAAGGGATAACCTCGGTGTTCCCTGCAGTGCAGGAAGGTCATGGCATCAGCTCTGGGAAGAGAAGGAATGTCATTAAAATTAAAACTGTCTCCTCTCAGATTCCCATGGATGAAACCCCCTCGGGTGAGCAGGAGAACTACAGGCCAGCCTTCCTGCAGCAGCATTCCCTGACCTCGGAGAGCGAGGACGACGATGGCTTCCTGGAGCTGCTGGATGACCAGGATTTGAAGGTGTGTGCAAAGGGAGTGGGGTGGAGATCCCAAATACAGTTCTGCCTGATGCTGCTGTGTGTGTCTGTGGTGCAGGTGTGTTCTGGCAGAAGTCAGTGTGCTCAGTCAAACTGCAGTAAGTTTAGGGAGTCGTGGAATCCCGGAGTGGTTTGGGTTGGAAGGAACCTCAAAGACCATCCAGTTCCAGCCCCCTGCCATGTGCAGGGACACCTCCCACTAGGAGATGAGGTATCATCATCTTTTTCAACTCACACTGTGGTATCCCTGTCTTATCCCTGCTCTTCCCTAGTGCAGACAGTGGGATTTGTTTGGTGTGTGAACGAGGAAGTTATTTTTAGTTGGAGAACTGCATTACGAGAGAGAATTATTGGAACAGTTGGCATTTTGCTTTAGAAACTTGCTGGAAAACTCAGAGGTGGTGTTTGCTTTGCAGCCACTTAAATAGAGAACTGTTTCCAACTGAATTTGAGATGCTTAAAGCTCTGGAGGATCATCACTGTTGATGCATCAATGAGCTGATATAACTCCAGCGTGTCTCAGCTCGGGTCTGTTGTTTCATTGAGCATTGGCCTGATAACGGAGTTAAATTCCTAGAGCTGCCCTGGCAGCTGAACCCAGCTGGAGTGTTTGCCCCAGCTGTGCAGGAGCTGTGTGTACAGCCTGTGGTGCAGTAGGTGGGATGACCCTCCTTTCTCTCCCCCCTCAGAACGACGAGGAGGTGCCGTCGGACGTGGCGAGTCTCTGGACGGCGCCGCTGGTCATGAGGAGGGCGGACAATCGGGTGAGTGTTCCCCAGCACAGGCACTGGCCTGTGTCCTGGCACTTCCACTGCCCAGACAAGCCATCCCACTGTCTCCTGTGTCCCTAAGGACAACAACAAAACAAGCCGTGGCATGACCCCCTGCAGTATTCCCTTATCTCTGAAGCTGGTTTGCCTGGAAGACTTTGTCAGCCTGGAACACTTGTAGGCATTAAATATCTTTTTACACTTCACAAGCTGTGAGAAAATCTTGACTTCCCTTATCAGAATCTTGTTGGCATATCTGGAATTCGCCCTGCACAGGCTCACCTGGAATGCTGATCCCCTGATAAGGGACTGGGAAAGGAGTTCAGACTCCAGTAAGAAGCTCCTTGATCTGCTGATAGATTGGCTGCTAATTGGTGCAGAGCACTTCATCTTGCTTGGGGTGCTCCAAGCTCCCCCAGTCCCCCCAGCAGCAAGTGTTACTGGAAATGCAGAGCCTGAATAATTCAAATTACCATCCCGCTGTTGCTGTGCAGTGGTGGTGTCTCAAACAAGGCAAAATCCGTAACAATCCCTAATCCTGAGGCTTGTTTCATTTTCCAAGCCAAACCTCTGCTGGAGAACTCAACTCCTCTCCTTCCTCGCAGGCCAAACGGTGCCGCTTGTTTGGCTCTTCGTCCGTGTCCAGCACTGCAGGAAGAACCACCCAGAAGAGGATGGAGAGATCCCAGGAAGACAATTCCCCAGGGAAAAGCAAGAAGAGGAAAAGCCTGCCTGGAACTTCCGAGGACCCAACGGTGGGTGACTCAGCATCCAGTTTGCAAGGGAGAACTGACTGGGGGGGATCTGATGTTGGTGCCTGGGTTATGAAGGTCAACGGGAGCTTTTTTTGGCTGAAAAGTGAGATTTGGGGGAGCTGGGGCAGCACTTGCATATCCTGAGCCTGAGCTTTGCCCTAGAACAGCAGGGAAGCTGAGGAGTGGGAATTCAGTGCTCTGGAGTCGAATCTGAGTTCTGTGTTATGGGAAATAGGGAATGGGATGTGTCTGCTGGCAGTGCTGATCTCTGCCCTGTGTCCTCCAGAGTGTGAAACTGGTGAGGACCCAACCCTCCACAGCAGAGATCGAGAGCATCTTGGACAGCGACCAGAGAGACCTGATTGGGGACTTCTCCAAGGTAATTCCAGGGGTTCCATGGCCAGGGGGTTACTGGAGTGTCCCAATGGCCTCTCCCAGTGGGGATGGCTCAAACCAGCCCAGTAAAGCCCCTCCCTTTGCAGAGGCTTTGCTGCTGCTACATAAATCTTGCTTGGTTGGACTTGAAGGTTGGACTTGATGATCTTGGAGGTCTTCTCCAACCTTAACCATTCCATAGTCCTCAAACAACTAGGAGAGGCTGTTGGTGAGAAGGGACAGGTTAGACACAAAGTGAATAATTTGTAGTTAAAGACCTACAAAATCCCTCTGGTGCAGGAGCCAAAAATTAAATTCTGTCCCTGACTTTAGAATTCTTGGTCTTAACTCCCGAAGAGATTCTTGTCATCAAAGTATCTGTCAGAGAATGAACTGCTGGATGCTGTGACTCACATCTGGATTTTCTCCCTCCTCTCTGTCTTAGAGTTATTTACTTGACACTGTTGATGGGAAACATCAGGATTTAAAATACATCGACTCGGAAATGGTGAGTGCTCCAAGGAGAGGCAGGAAAATCCTTTACTGGGGTTTAGGGGACAACACAAAAGCATCTTGAAACAACTGACCTCTGGGTTTTTTGTGTTTTTTTTTCTCAGATTGTGTCTGTGCTGACTGGGAAGTTTGAGAGCTTCATCAAGCAGTGTGTGATAATGGACTGCAGATACCCCTACGAGTACGAAGGAGGGCACATCAAGGTATGTTGACCCTGTAAGAGCAACCCAGAGGGGTCTGAAGTTGCAGTATGGGGTCACTTGGCCCCACGTGGGGCTGCCTGTTATCCAAGGCCATGTGGATATGTTATTCCTGAGGTGCCCCACTGGGACCCTGTCCCACCCACCCACTGCCTGGATCTTGGACACTGAGCTCACACTTGGTTCATAAAGTGCCTTTTCCCCTCAGAGGGGAGTGTTCTGCCCTCCTTAAGCACAGGAGAGGGCCTGTGTGGCCCTCAGGGAGATGGTTCCAGAGGAAGGATGTGAGACACTCAGTGTGCAACATCCTGGTATCCAGGGAAGCTAAAATTGGAATATTAAACTTAATTTAAATCACAGACTTCAAGGAGCAAAGAGCTGTGCAAAACATAACCAGGAACAGATCACCCAGAGAGGATGTGGCCTTAGAGCCCCTTCCAGTGCCTAAAGGGGCTCCAGGAGAGCTGGAGAGGGACTGGGGACAAGGGATGGAGGGACAGGACACAGGGAATGGCTTCCCACTGCCAGAGGGCAGGGTGAGATGGGATATTGGGAAGGAATTCCTGGCTGGGAGGGTGGGGAGGCCCTGGCACAGGTTGCCCAGAGAAGCTGTGGCTGCCCCTGGATCCCTGGAAGTGTCCAAGGCCAGGTTGGAGCAACCTGGGCTGGTGGGAGGTGTCCCTGCCCATGGCAGGGGGTGGAATGGGATGATCCTGAAGGTCCCTTCAGACCCAAACCATTCTGGGATTCTGTGACTGATCCTGGACATTGCTGCTTGATCAAAAGCCATCCCAAATACGTGAGGTGGGGAGGGAAATCCCAGGAGCCACAGCCTCCAGGTGCTGAATTGTCCATCTGAACCAGGTCGTGGTCACCCAGAGCCAGTCCCAGACTCTGGTGTGCTGGTGGGGTTTGGAGCTGGGTTTGGAGAGGGTTCCAGGGCTGCTCCAGCAAACCAAGGGGAGGAAACTGCCCTCAAGGGAGTGGGATAAGTTTGTTCAGTTCCCCCTGCCCTCACAGGGTGCCATAAACCTCCACATGGAAGAGGACGTGGAGAACTACCTGCTGAAGCAGCCGATCGAGCCGGCGGAGAACAAGCGGGTCATCGTGGTGTTCTACTGCGAGTTCTCCTCGGAGCGGGGCCCTCGGATGTGAGTGCCCAGCCCCTGGAGAGGACCTGCTGCAGGGCTGGGAGCGGAGCTGTGGGGTGGCACCACCAGGACATGGGGATTGTCACCTGGAGGGGCTGTGGCACAGCCCGTGGTGGGAGCGGCCGGAGCGCTGGTGTGTTCGGAGGGAAAGGGGAAAACCGGTTCACTGTGGCTGTGTGGGTCCTCAGCCCCTTCTGACAGGCAGCAGCAGACCCCTGTGGTGCCAGGGCCGGGGGGTCTGGGGTGAGAGCTGGCTTTGGGTGTTGTTTGTGGAACGCAGGGTTCACCAGGATCTTTGGTGCTGCAGGTGCCGGTTCGTGCGGGAGCAGGACAGGCTGAGCAACGAGTACCCCAGCCTGCACTACCCAGAGCTCTACGTGCTCAAGGGGGGCTACAAGGATTTCTTCTCGAGATGCAGGGTAAGGGACTTCCTCCCAGACTGTGGATTCCCCAGCCCTGGAAGTGTTCAGGGCTTGGAGCAGCCCGATCTAGTGGAAGGTGTCCCTGCCCCTGGCAGGGGGTGGAACAAGATCTTGAAGGTCCTTTCCAACCCAAACCATCCCATGATTGTTCTTTGATCTCTTTCACACTCAGGAGAAGTGGTAGATAAGTATTATTGATTTGTTCATGCTCAGACTTGTCATTGGGGCAGAGTGGCTTGGCTGGGGTGGCTTCTCTGCTCTCTCTGTGCTCTGTTCCCAGAGCAGCTCAGGTTTGGCTCTCTGAGCCTGTTCCTTCCCTCAGAGCTGTTTTCCTGCCATAGCTGAAAGGTTTTTCCACTTGTCTCAGAGGTAAAGTATAAAAGTGGTTTCTGCCCTTGTAGAACAAACTGTCACTGAGGGAAGGGACTGAAGGCTGCTCAACCTGCACAGAGCAGGGGAGAACACAAGGCTTGACAGCAATTGCTGGATAACAATGGAAACCTCAGGTCTCCTGCAGTCCTGAAACAGCAAAATTGGAAACCTGAGCTTGGAGTTTACAACCTCTAATTCAGACAAGGAAACTAAGAACACCCCACAGCTCTTCCCAGCACTTTGAGGGTGGGATTTCTCCTACCACCTGGCTTTTGCTCCTGCAGCATTTCCATGGCTGGACTCTCTCCTGGGGTCTGTCCTGCTGCTCTGGCACAAACAGGCCATGGCCTGACTGTCACCTCAGTCCCTCACACTTCAGGGTATCCCTTAGATTGCCTTCCTGGTGTGTTTTCAGGGAGATGGGAGATACCTGGTCTGTCTGTGGCCAGTTGGATGGGGTTGTCAGCTCCTCCCTGCTGGGATGTTGGGCCCCGTGGGAGATGCTGGTGCTGGTGGCACCGAGTGCTGCCGAGGTGTTTAGCCCTCCCTGCGATCTGCTGGCTCTCCGGGGGTGATGGACACGTGGGATTTGGGTTGTCCCGGTGGGGTTTGGGTTGTCCCTGTCCCGGGGAGGGGTGACCGAGGCCTCAAGGTGGCAGCACGGAACAGCCGACGGGGATCCTTCCAGTCCCTGCCTTCCAGGGTGGACACCACACGGGCTCACCACACAGACTCAGCAATCCCTGCCAGAGCATTTGGGATGAGAGCCCTGTGCCCAGGGTTTGGTAGCTGTGATCTGAATATCCCTGGGCTCTGAGCGTGGAGCTCCCATGTGGAGCGGGGGGTCTGTCCCTCTTTGGTCCAGGGGTGGTTGTCCCAGTGGCTGCTGCCAGGCTCTGTCAGTGGGATCCTCAGCCCTGTGACACCGAGGTGACAGCAGCTCCTCTCTCCCCAGAGCTTCTGTGAGCCCGAGAGCTACCGCCCGATGCACCACAAGGACTTTAAGGAGGACCTGAAGAGGTTCCGCACCAAGAGCCGGACCTGGGCTGGGGAGAAGAGCAAGAGGGAGATGTACAGTCGCCTGAAGAAGCTCTGAGGGCTGCAGGGACCCAGCACGGACTGTCCAGCGTGGGGGGCCTGTCCTGCCTCTCTCCTCCTCTGTTTGCTCCCTGGGAACTCCTGGAACTCGGGGCTTCGGGCCCGGATCCGGCCGGGAGCTGCCTTTGGTTATTTTTGTTACATTGCTTCCTGAAAAATGGCTTCTTGTGTTCTGTGCCACCCCCGGAGCACCCGGGGAGGGGTGGGGAGAGACCCGTGGGGGCAGCAGTGTTGAGGGTGTTTTAGTGCCTGTTATTTTTTTAAATGCTCGATTTTATTTAAATACAGTCAAATGAAGCCAATACTGCCGCTGTTGGATCATCTGGGTTCTACTCAGACCTGGTTTCTGCCCCAGGGCATCCTGCTGGTGGAGGGGTGGGGGTTAATTATTGTACTCAGCTGCAGCTTTGGTTCTGTGTAGTGTTTGTGGTGAAGGAAAACGGGAAATGTCCCGTTACAGCCCGAGGTTCCCACCTCTAAGCCTCTGAAAGCCCATCTAAGGGGAATTGCTTGTTCATAAATATCATGTTCACCTCGTTTACTTCAAATTGTTTTATTTCATAGTCTCTTTGTGTAGTTTTAGAGGAGTTGGTGTTTTAAAGGAGGGAGAATTTCTGGGAGCTGGGGAGGATCAGCAGTGGGATGAAAAGCTGTTGATTTGCTGTCGCCGCTGCCTCCGAGGGTGTGAGTTGTTATCCTGAAACATTCCCAGAACAGACAGTGAGGAATCCTGGGAGGCTGCTCCTGCACCCGGGGGTGATTGTGGCCACTTCTCCCTCTGCCAGGAAAGGGCAGGAAGTAAATTAATCCTTGAAGGAAGAGGAACTTCCTCGGCAGCGTTGGGCCCTGCAGCTGAGGAAGTTCTGCTGTGCCAGCCCCAAAACTGCTTGGCTGCTGATTTTTGGGGTCACATCAGCCCCAGCTCTCCAGTCCTGCAGCAGCCCAGGGATTTTGGGGTGTGATGGAGCTGGAGCTCATCTTCCTCACACACCAACTTCCTGGAGAAACTGGTGCTCCTTGGGAGCACCACGTGCCTGGGAGCTCCCAGCTCTCCTCTCGTGTCCTGTTTGTATCCGTGTCAAAAAAGTATTGAAATGGAGGTGCCTTATGTGGAGTTCTGACTTGATTTCTTTTGAAAATCTGTTTCTTAAAACGTTGTTGTTAATCCTCTTGAGAAGCAAAAGGGTAGACTTGGAGTTTTTTTCTCGTTTAAAAAAAAAATAAATCAGAATTTGCTGTTTTACCTCAAAGCTGAAGCCCTTGAAGGGGGAGATGAGGAAATGCTAAATCAGAAATGGTGGTTACAAACTTCTCCCTTTGGGAAATTTGGGAGGGCTGAACTCCTGAGTGGGGGGTGTGGGGTGGGAGGAGGCCACGGGCAGTGGCCTGAGTGACCCAAACTGCTCTTTGGTCAAGCCCGGGGGGCAAATCATCAGTTCGACACGAGGGCTGGGCAGGATCTCTTGGTACAACTCCATGATCCAACAGTTTCTCCATGTGAGAGTTTAACTCCTCAGAAAAAGCGGATGGAGACTTGCTGGGGTCATGATGCTCATTTCTGAGGACACTCAGCTGGAGCAAAACTCTTACAGCCATCCCTGCTGTGCAGCTGCACTTCCCCTGGATCTGCTCATCATCCCAAACTTCCTGCTATGCAGGAAGCTGGATCTGGGGCGGGTGCTGGGGCTGTGGCCCAGCAGTACTGGGGGATGAGCAGAGATTGGGAATGATTGTGGTGCCAAACTTTGCCCCAAAAGGCACAGAGAAACTGCTCAGAGACAGAGTTAGTCTTTAAGCAGCGAGGTATTTATTCAAGGACACGTTGGAGAGCAGCCAGCTCAGGCTGGACAAACTGCTCTGCCTCTTCAGTGAAAAGACAGGATTATATACAATTTTTACAAGTGATTACAACATTTTCACATGCATATTCATAGAATTGCAACATCTAGTTATAATATTCATAACAGGCGGGGTCTGGGAGGAGTCTGGGGTGGAGTCCTCTTTTTGGGGTGATGTTTGGTGGTCGTTCCTGTTCCTTCAGCCTTTTGGGGTCGCATTTTTACTCTTCTTCCTCGGCTGAACTTTTCAACTGGAGCCCTGTGGGGGTGGAAATGAGCCCCTGGTGTCAGAGCCCACCTTGCTCTGTGGGTCCTGAGGTGGGAGAAGGCTGGGAGAGGGATGCTCCAGGCAGGATCTGCACTGTGTCATCCCAGAGCTTAATGGATTGTTGTGGGCAAAGGGAGTAAGGTCCTAAAAACCCAAACAGTTTGAACCCAAATCTGCTGCAGCAGAGGCACTGGTGAAGCTGTTCTGTGTCACTGCAGTGTCAGAACCAGCCCAGGGTGGGGGTTGCTGCTTTTCATGTCCTGGGTCCTTGCTTGTTGCTTGCAGGAGAAACACTTCCAGAGAAACTGTGGCTGCTCCATCCCTGGAAGTGTCCCAGGCCAGGTTGGACGGGGCTTGGAGCAACCTGGGCTGGTGGAAGGTGTCCCTGCCCATGGCAGGGGGTGGCACTGGATGGGCTTTAAGGTCCCTTCCCACCCGAACCATTCTGGGGTTCTGTGAACTCCGGGGCTGCAGCCACCTGAATGTCAAAGCTGGGCATTCCCATCACTCCATGTTCAGTGTGGAGTCTCAGCTCACTTTGGGATGAGGGTCCTGGGCTGTGCTGGAGGCTTTCCCAGGGCTGGGCAGAGCTTCAGCAGAGCGTGGGGGTGACGAGCAGGTGGCCAACAATGGGGTCAGCATTAAAAGCTTCCCTGAAAACACAGCAATGTGACTCCAAATCCGAGGGAGGCTCAAGCAGAGAACTGGGTGGGTTTTTTTCCCCTCCCTCCATCTGTCATCCTTAAAACTCGTTTTGAAAGCAGCTTAAACCTTCATCAGCTTTGACCACCAGCTCCTGAATGGCACAAAGGTTGGTGTTTCCTTGCACATTGTGTTACCTTTGATGGCCTAAAGGGACTCTTGTGCTCTGTCTTTTGTGGCATTTGGGGCTAATAAAGGCCAACTGCAAAGGGCCAGCTGCCCTGCTGTGCCAGCAGCTCCTGGATCCCTTGGATTCCCTTGGGAATTGGCAGTGGTTGTTGGACATCCCTGCAGTGCTGCCTGGCTGTGGTGTTTGGTGCTGCCCTAACCAGCCAGTTCCCTGCTTTTAACTCCTTCTGCAGCTTTTCAAACAAATCTGCCTTTGCCCTCAGCTGCTGCCCTTGGGGTGTGAGGCAGCAGGGAATGGGCAGGGGCTGCACCACCAGGGTCTTCCTCACCCAAAATTCTCCCCTTGGGGCGGGCAGCAGGAGGGGAGGAAGGGCAGGTGGGCACAGGGGGGTGGCAGCCCCAGAGGTGCCTCCCTGTCCCATCCAGGCTTCACCCCTCAGCCTCACCTCCTGCCACAGGGCCACGTGTGTGTTCTTGGAGACCCTCAGGCACTTCTGGAGAAGGGATGTGACCAAGCTCCCCACCGGGGTCTGCCCTGGGGGCCTGATGTGCTTTTGGGGTCCCAGCCCCAGCCAGGCTGTGCTGGCCCAGGGTGTGTGTGCTGCAGACAGGCCGGGGCTGTTGCTGTTGGATGAACTCTCCAGTCGTGTTTGCTGGGGCTTAAGGCTCGAGCAAGGAGCCATAAAAAGGGAGGATAACATCAGAAGAGGAAAGTGGAAGGAGGCCAAGAGGAACGTGGCCAAGTGCCCTTTCCTTCTTTCTCTGTGCGGGGAACCCCCGAGGGTGTGGGATGTGTCACATCCCTGTGCCAGGCCGGGCATGGCCCCACCACCGCGGGGACACACGAGAGGAATGTCCCTGGCGGGGGTCCGGGGGTCCCGGGGAGGGCAGGGAACGGAGGGAGGCTGAGCTGGGGGAGAGGGGCCCAGGGAAAGAGCTCCTGTACGGATGGAGCCGCAGCTCCTGCTCCACCTCGGGGCACATCCACGTGGGGTGGCTTCTGTCACCGCGCTTGGTGGCACGGGAGGGCGGGTTGGGGTGGGAAGAGCGCCCGTGGGCTTGCATCCCGGTGTCTCCACGGAAGGGATTGTAAGCAGGGCGGGCAGGAGACGGGCCCCGGGGGGGCCCGGGAGGAGCGGAGTGTGTGCGGCACATCCCGCGGGCGGCTGGACCGGCCCCTTCCTGGGCCCACCCCCCCTGGGCCAAGTGGGGCGTCCCACCGGGAGGACAAGACCCGCTTCGCGGAAGGGCACAACCCCGGCTCTGAGAGGGACAACCCGCTCGGGAGGGGAACACCCCGGGGCTCTGGAGATGTGGACACCCCCGGCCCGCCCGCCCTAAATTTGATCTCGGCCCAACCCCATCGGCGGAACTTCTCCGCTCCGGAATGCCCGTGCGCCAATGGCTCAAGCACACCACCACCGAGGAGCGAGCCCGGGTGCCGAGGAGGGTTGGGGAAGTCGGGGTTGCCCCCCCCGTGGGGGGGGAATAGCCCCCCCCCTTGGGCAGCTCCCCCACAGGTTGAATCCCCGCGGGCGCGGAGCTCCAGGAGCTGCTCCCCTTCCTGGGCACAGGCTCCCCGTGCCAGGGGAGGGCCGTGGCCCACCCCGAGGGTCCCGTGCCCTGGGGGAGGGCAGCGGGGGTGCCGGGTTTGCCCTGGGAACATCCCCGGGGCCGCGCTGCTCGGGGATGATGCAGCAGCACAGTCCCGGCCCGCGACGCTGCCATACTGGGCTGTGATTAGCAGTGCCAGCACTTGCTTGGGGTTCGGCCCCTGGTTTAGCCCTGCTGCCTCTGCATTCTCCCCACCAAAACCTTCCTCCTACTGTGCGGGGCATGAAGCCGTCCCGCGGGCAACATGGAGCCCACGCGGGTCCCAGGCCAGGCCCCCCCAGAGCCCGTGTCCCGCAGGCTGAGGAGCAGAGCTGAGCTCTGGGAGGCAGCACGGCGAGGTTTTCAAACCCACTGAAGCAGTTTGGTGGGTGTGAGGTCCGTGGGGGAGCCCTGTGCTCGTGGGAACTCTCTGGGCACCGCCACAGTCCCAGGAAACGCGGGCTCTGCCCTTGCAGAGCAGCCACGACTGAATTTGGGGCTGTGTTTGGGGCTTTCCCGGGTGCAGAGCCGGGGTTTTGCATGTGGAGGGGATGAGTTTGGTCCTGGCCGTTCCCCTGTTGCTGCAGGAGGGGAAGTGGTGACACAAGTTCTGTACTGGGAACAACAGGTCACATCCCCCCCAGCCCCACAAACCTGCAGCCCCCTGGGCTGCTCCTCTCCCCTCCATCAGATGTGTCTGGAATTGAGTTAGAAGTCTGAGCATTGATCTGTTGGAGTGAGTCCAGAGGAGGCCATCGAGATGAACAGAGGGATGGAACCCTTTCCTGCGAGGAAAGGTGAGGGAATGCCTCACCACCCCCACGGGGAAGAATCTCCTCCCAATGTCTAATCTAAATCTACCCTCCTTTAGCTTAAAGCCATTTCCCCTTGTCCTGTCCCTCCATCCCTTGTCCCCAGTCCCTCTCCAGCTCTCCTGGAGCCCTTTTAAGCCCTGGAAGGGGCTCTCAGCTCTCCCTGGAGCCTTCTCTTCTCCAGGGGAACCCCCCAGCCCTCCCAGCCTGGCTCCAGAGCAGAGGGGTTCTCCTCTCTTCCACCTTTTCTTGTCAGAAAGCAGCAGGACCTGCTCCTGCCTTGGGCAGGGAAGGAGAGATCACCAGGGCAGCGGCATCACTTCCAGCACCTCCTGGATGGCCTGGGTCCTCTGTGGCTGGCAGAGAGCTCCGAGCCTGGTGTTGTCCAGGGGTACGTGCACACACCCACACACACACACTGCAGCTGTGCACAGATGTCCCTTGGACCCCGCTGAGGGTGTTTATTCCTAATTCCAGCTGCTCCCAGCTGACCTTTTGGCTGGCTCTGGTGCTGGTGGGGCTGTTGGAGTCATTCACAATCTGGTTTTTGTCAAGAGCTGTGATCCAGCAAACCTCTGCCCCAGCGGCCGGGGGGCAGGGGGGATGCCGGGGGCTCTCCACTCACTGCTCCCACTCTGCAGCCAGGGCCCGTTCCCAAGGGATTTCACCCCAAACTCGCATCGGGCAAGCCCCGGTCTGCCGTTTCACCCGACTTTTGTGCCATCAGCCGGCCCTGCCGCGGCGTCGAAGCGGAGCAGGGGCGCTCCCTGGGTCCACCTGCACTGCGGGCGGAGCCCGCGACGGGAGCCCGAGGGGGCGGGAGCGGGGCATCGGCACCGGCTGCGGCAGCGGCAGCTGTTCGCGGAACGAACGTGTGTCCGTGGC